GCGCAAGGGGGGAGCAGCCGGGCGGAAGGAGAGTGGCGACGCAAACAACGGCCGAGCCGACGGCCGTCAGGGCCGCTGTGACAGCCTGCCGTTGTGTGCATGCGAGCGCGCCCCGGCCGGCCTGCCGCTGTGTGCATGCGAGCGCGCCCCGATACGCCTGCCGGTGTGCGCATGCGAGCGCGCTCCGGCCGGCCCGCCGTCGTGGGTGCGGCGGGCCCTCACCACGCGAGCCGCTTGTCGTCGCTGCCCACGAGCACGTGGTCGCCGCCCGGGTGCACGGCCAGGCAGGTGATGGCCCCGCTGCCGCCGATGAGCTTCTTGGCCAGGGCCTGCTTGGCCAGGTTGTACACACGCACCTGGGGGCGGTGGGGCGGCGGGCGGTTGGTCGCTTGGTCAGTTGGTTGTGTGTCGGCGTGTTGGATGGTGTGTGTCAATGTGTTGACAAGCGGCAGGGTCAACCGCAGGGCTTCTGGAGCCGATTTGCCGCTGGAGGGCAAAGCAAGCGCCGCCGCCGCGCGGACGCGCCGCCAAACTACACCCCTCCGCCGCTCACGTGGTTCTGGGTCGCGACAAAGAAGAACGGCTTGACGGGGTGGAACGCGGCGCGCGTGACGCGGCCCCGGTTCTTCCGGAAGGGGTTCTGGGTGGCGCGCTTGGACAGTTGGTGCACCAAGACAGACTACGGGAGGTGATGGTGGGTGTTCCAGGGAAGGGGAGGAGGGGGTGGTTTGCGTGGGAGTGGGAAAAAGAGGTCCAGGGCTGCGCTTGGAAGGGTGCTGGACGGCGGTCTTGCCGCGGCTGCATAGGAAGATCGAGGGTTCAGACGGCCCGTGATCTGGGAGTTGAAGGGGCGGAGCAGGGGGCCGTGCCCACGTGGAGCAAGGCGGGCGGACAAGGGCTGGGGCCTCAGCGGAGTTGAAAAGCTGTCACCATGGGAGCGGCGCTCCTCGGACAAACTGTGAATTTTGAGCATCCTCGGCCGGCCATCAAGAGGCACCACTGCGTGACGTGGACGGAGCGCCATGCAAACGCCAGGCGACGCACCACAGCCGCCGCCTCGTCATGCCTGGTGCGGTGCCCCAACAGCCGGACGCGTGCTGTGCACCTCCCTCAACACGCCCAGAATTCAAATGTTTCGCAAAAGCTCTTGATGACATGGAAATGGAGCGGTGCGAATCATGACACGCACCTGCGTCGCGCCCGTCGGCGCCACCGATGCGAAGTAGTCGCCGCGGCCGTGCCAGCACACGTGCGTCACCGGGTGACGCGCCGCGATCTCCACGCCCCCGCCCTCTCGCGCCGCCCACGCCGCCAGCGGCGAAGCGTCGCCGCCGTTCGCCGCGCCGCCGCCGCCGGGCAGCTGCGGGGCCGGGGCCGCGGTTGTGCGTGCAAAAGGTCAGGGGAAGAAAGCGGAAATGTAGCCTCAAGGCCAAGCAGGCGGCCATGCATTTGCAGCAAGCCGTCGCAAAATGGCGGTACAACAGAACACTGCACGGCAGCTTGGATCAGGGTGTTACCCAGCCTCGAGCCTCTGATCTATAACAGCCGCCACCCATCAAACACACGCCAGGACCACCCCCACCTCGAGGGCCGCCGCCGCCGCTGCCTCCACGTCCGGCCCGCCCAGCCCCGAGGGCAGCAGCACGACGGTGCTGCCCACCGCGGCCGACAGCAGCTGCAGCGCGGCGTTGGGGCACCAGGCCAGGGAGGCCACGGGGCCACCGAGCTGCCAGGTGCGGGTGCAGCGGCCTGGGGGCGGCGGGGTGCGGCGGCGCATGGTTGTCAGGGGGGGGGCGGGGAGGGGGTTGCGGCGGG